TGATATAGAACACTGTCTCATTGAACATTTTTGTGACAAATCTACCTCAGGGTGTTTTTGTGAAATTAAAATGGAATTAAATAAACCAAATTCATGTAAAGACCCCTCCTCCCAAACGAATTAGCAGCTTATTTTCATTAGGGGGTGTGTTTTTTGTTTCATCCGCTTAAAAATTGAGTGATTAAAGAGATTTGAATGATTGGATCATAGCTGGGCTTGATTATCTTCCCCCTCACTTTCATGGAAATAATTATTTTTAGTCATGCTGGCAGCATGGCTTCAGGACAGCAGTGTCCATCAGCCTGTCCACCAGTTTAGTCCAGACTGAGATATCCAAGATCATACTGGCACTAAATCTCATGCAGATATTATTTTTCCACAGAGGTTGAATCTGATCCACTTTCACAATTCACCGACGTTTCCCCTCGCACCATAGTGAGAGTAACATCTTTTGTTTTGAGTGAAATGTCTTTGGTATTGGATGGTGTTCCTTAATCTTTCTCACTCTCGGGATGAGTCGTAGAACGTAGCAATTATCTTTGAGATCAGGTCAGAATTTTTGTTTATCCAATAATTATTTCATAAATGGATATTTCTAATGATTCTCCCTTCAGTACCAACAGTGTTTCAGTTGATATAAAAGGTGACAATGAAAAAAAACCAACATACGGTGTCCTAATAGTGTGTTGGACCAGTACCTAACTCCATAACAGCTTCAAAGCTCCATTGGTTCCTCAAGTCTCTGGAACTCTAATCGATGGTGTACGCAGTTCTTCCAAATGATATTCTTTCATTCTGTATGTTTAAGTTGGAGAGCACTGTCGGACACTCCCATCTGTGTTCAGATATGTTCACATTATGTTGATACTCAAACCCCATTGCTGGAGCCATTTTCATTTTGGATGAGACCCCTCCTATTAGAATAGAAATGTTTCATCACAGGATAAAAGATGATCACTCAGAATACCTTTGTATAGATTTGCACAAGAAAAGTGGAGCGAAAAGCATGCTAGCAAAATTCCCCTCCCAGCAAAGCAGAGTGACAAAATCCTCTCACTGTACCTTCACCTGAAATGATCACTGGTAAATGTAATCGTACTCGGAGCTAAACTCATAGACTTGCATAAAGGATGGATGTAGCCACCATTACATCCTCTACTGGTTGGGAATTTTTAGAGTTGGACCTGACAGTGAAACCGATGCCATCATTGGGTAACAATGTCTTGGCCACACTGTAAAACACTCAAGATGGAAAAACCTGACAAAAAAAAAAGGATTTCATATTGATCTCTTATATCTGATGTAAAATGCATCAGTCTATAATTTGTTTGGCATAACTGAAGCAGTTTATGAAAGTCTGACTTATCACAACTGTGGTTTTAAGACAAATTGAATTGATCCTTTTTGATTCTATGGATCGTAATTTGCAAAATAACCATATTGTATTAAATAGGACTTACTGTCTACAGTTCATTATGTGTTAAAAAGTGAAAAACTACAACAGGAGTGCTATGCTAGAGATGCTCCACCTAGCATCGTCTCCATAGCCTTTATTCTCCCACAAATCGTGACCATAGTAATAAAACATAAGTGCATTTATTAACCATTTAAAAGCTTATACTGAGGCTGCAGAATGGCTCTAAAAATAGTTTTGTCAATCAGAGGTCAGCTCAAGGCAAGAGTTTCGATTTCTGTCTATTTTAGATGCTATACGAGTCAGCTGTTAAATCCCTTGCAATACTTAAAACTGTCAAACTTTCTTTATTCGTTTATGAATTTATTGCAGCTCTTCTGACTGAATCATAACTTTAATAACATTATTTTTCTTCTTTCTCCTCAAGACAGCAAAAGTGACTTTTTACAACCTGGCAACAAAAAGGATTTCATGCCTTGTGTCTGATATGGTGTATAACTCGTTTAGCTTAAGTAATTAATGAATTTCTGAATTATTAGAACTGCTGTTTTTAGACAAATTATAAAATATTTACAGACAAAACTAAAAATATGAAAGAAAATTTCAGTTTCTCTGTCTGAATTCATTAGGAAGATTGGCGCCGCCCCATCAGGCAGAAGGTTAAACTCAAAAGTAGATTCAGAGACGGCCTAAGTCACCACCCCTCCTAAACACAATGTGTTGAGAAGCAGTTCACCCGGCCCTCCCCGCTCTCAGCACGATCCCGGTCTCCCTCTGAGCCCTGGGGACCTGGTATTGATCGGTGTCTCGTAGGTAGTGATTGGACATGAGTGGATAATTTCCTTTGCTGCATTAGAGTCCATTACTGGCCTGCTCCCCGGAAAGCGATAGACATCCTCAAAAAAAAAAAAAAAATGAGAGAGAAGATTCTTCTTGGAAAAGCAGTCTCCGACAAATGATTCGCCAGCTGAGGCTCCTTGAACTTTATTATCAGGTCCATTTGGAGGATGATAATAGATACTGGGTAACAGCAAAGGAGGATCTGGCATTAACTGAGACGTTTTCTGTCCTTTTCTCAAGCCTGGGGGTGTTGCGTATGTTAAACAAGAAAAACAAAGATGAAATAAAGCTGATATATACAGACACAGAATTATATTCATTCAGAGAAAGAATCCCAGCTGAGTTTTAACCTTTACAGACTTCCTCCCACGGAGGCCGAGCAGGACTATTCTCAGCTTGAGAGTCTCTCTCAGAGCTCCTCGGGAGCGTTTGTTTTGCTGGGTGAATCATTACTCATTGCCACCGTGACATCCTTTGTTTCATTCTCCTGTTTCTTCTTACTCACTGGGATCCTTTTTCTTCACGTTCGAGTGGAAATTGTGAAGCAGCAAGGCTCTATATTTACTAAAAGAAAGAAAAAAAGAGGGGGGTGGGTAGCTGCTGAATGAGAAACATTGATATGCTGAATATGAACACAAATACACTCCCACAGGGGCATGAAACACAGAAAAAGAGCTTACACTGACAACTACTCTGGATTGTCATGCATGAAATTCCAACGAGCTTCTCCCATATGGAAAGTCTTTCCTTTTTTTGAAGAAATGGTTTTGATGACTTCTTCAAATTTCGTCCAGCTGGTTAGATATTAAAATGAGGTTCACATTTGAAAATGTCTGTTTTAAATAATGATGCATGTATGTATTTAAAGGTTTATTTAAAGCTTGTTATTTTTGCAGTAGTGGATTAAAACTGTTACACAGAAACGTATTGAAAAAGCTTGTGTCTCAGCCCAGGCTTCATCTGTGCTGTGGAAACTGAGCCAAAATGTTTAAACTCCCCCTCGGAGGGCAGATATACTTGTAAGCAATAATGCAGATTGTAGACTAAGACCCCGTGTTCGATTTAAATCAATAACTGCCCTTTACAATTTATAAAGAGTTGTATCCTGCACAGAACAAATATCAAGTCATCTCCAAAACCATATCTAGAAACCAACTCATTTAACCCACCAGTCTCAGCTAACCTGAACTGGTTAAATTCTAGTAAAATACTTCAGCTTAACTTCATGACATTATTTGTGATTTGCTCAAATTTGATTTGAGGATATTTCTTTGCTGTTTGTTTTTAGCATGTAATTAAAGATAATTCCACCACCCGCTCGTTATTTACATTTGTTTTAAGCTTAAAGCTTTATTAAAACTGCAAAATTTCTCAGTGTGTTGAAGGAAATGGGGTAAACCTTTAGGCATTACAGGGATCTGAAGCAGACATTAGATTTATTGCTCCTGTAACATCAGATACCCCATTGGTATCCTTTTCTATTCATTTCTAAGGAGGCTATCTTACCCCTCACCTGTATATAAATGGCATCCAGGGTCTACGTAAAGATCCATAAAACAAATACTTTTACTGTCATCACTGTGATCACCAGAGTGCAAGAACGTGTTAAAGAAGCCTGTGATACTAGTACAAGTTTTTCACATAACTGCATATAATTAACATTTGTCTCCCACAAACTCACAGAACCCAGCTTTAGTGGATCTATAAAATTAAAGGTAAAATAAAGTTTAAATGGCTTGTTTCAGGTAATAGATTAACTATAAATTACACAAAGCTACAATGCCAGAGTCCTAAGACTAGAAATAAGCAGCTGGAAACGAGTATAATAAGTCACATTTAACTTCTTGTTAACATACTGAAGTTTAACTTTAAGACCATTAGCTGGCTGTTAGAACACTTCTCCACGTGGCCCCAAAACAACCATCAAAAGACACTTTCCTATAATGGATACTCATGGAATAACTAATGAAATGACCTTACCCTGTCAAATGCTCCTTAAATGCAATCAGGACCTTTAAAACAAACACTGTTTGTGACTCTATCATCACCAGAACCCAAGATCAAGAAGTGAGAAAGATTAAAGAACACCATCCAAAGACATTTCACTCAAAGCAAAAAATGAAAATGACTTGTGCATAAATAACACTTACAACCACACCTTCTTTAGACTATTAATGGCTTCCTGTTGTTGCACCCCTAAATTCATTATCAGCCACTTTAAGATCAGGCTTCAGCCTCCTAGGAAACTGTAGCTCTGTTTCAGATAGTTTTTTGTGCTCTTGGCTCTGCATGCTGTTATTAAAAGGTTGTATCCTTAAAATTATGACACAGCTCTGCATGTGCAAAGTTTTCTGTTTGGGACAAGCAGCCAATAAGAAAAAAAACGTTGAGCATTAATTAACTTTACCTCATTAAAGCATTAACTCATAAGTTCCCTTTAAATGCTTCTTTTAGATTCATTTTGGATCGGTAAGATTATTAACCACACGTTCCAAGCAGAGGACACCGGAATTCACCATGAACCACCTTTAGAGAACCACAGGCTCAGCCCTCTACGACATTTAATAAGTCTATCATTTACAGGCTGAAGTTCCTCTTTAAGTTTCAGAAAGATTTTAACCACCACCACTGATAATGATGGCATTTGTAACCCAGCAGGTGACCCCTTTAACACAGGGAGGCTGCTGTGGGTCGCCACGTCTCAGCACATAAAATATTCTTTGTGGCAGGCGGGCGGACTGGCCAAGTTGCTGCTGCTGTGAGTATGATGCTTCTCATTTCTTTCTTACTGCTGGCTGTGCTGAAGTAGTGCCTGCCTGGGTCTGGAAACTTATGTCCTCCATCATATTAATGGGATAATAATGTGATTGATTGGTCATCCCCCGGGGGAAATGGTCTTTTCTGCTTCCTGAGAGTGCACGACTCATCAGAGAACTTACAGCTGACTTGAAGTGGATTCGTGCCCAAGAGCCCCTCAGCAGGGTGAATGCTCGAGCACATCAGGCGGCTTCCAGCCCGGGTTGGACCGCTCGGAAGATTGTTTGCGTGCCGCTACTCTGTTGCCATCGGCTTTATCGGTGGGGACTAAAGAGGCGGAGGAGGAAGGGTAGAGGGGGATTTGGGTGCTTCAGGACGGCTGAGTCTCGTTGCGATGCATGGAGGCTGCTTGGAAATGCTCCCCGGGTCTCCGGAGCGCATGAGGCGATTCCAGCCGAGCGACGGTCCGCAGCAGCATCGTGAGCTTCCTGCGGCTCAACTGCAGCTCTGCCAGGCTGTCGCGCTGTAGGTTCCGTTACAGGAGGTGCACGGCTCGGTTCGGAAGCCACGGAGCGGAGTTATTTTCGCCGAGAGCGCCGTAATCAAGGAGCCTGAAGGCTGCATCGCGTCCCTGCGTCGCAGTGGTGGTGGATACTGTGTGAGCGTGTCGGGCGGCATCTATGCAATTTATTTTCGACTTTTCATTTTATTATGAGCACAGAGGAGGGAGAGGCGGGTCCCGCGTGTGGGGAGGCGAGTGGAGGTACCACCATACCTCACCGCCACACCTGGGAGGAAAGCGAACCTCACGGCTTCCAAGGACGTCCGCACCCCGACGATGAGGACGAAGCCTTGGGAGGAGAGGAGGGAGAGGGGGCAGAGGGCTGCCGGGAGGGCCGGAGCTGCAGGGACGCGTGTGGGGGTGACACAGAGAAATTCACTGTGGAGAACAACGAGGGGAATTTTTCCAGTGAGGACGGGGCTGTCGGGGGGAGCTCTTGCAAGGCTCAGACAATGCATTCAAACTGCAGCAGCGAAACCTGCATCCCCACTCCCAGCTGCAGGATCTGCTTCCAAGGCGCAGAGCAGGTACATGTGGTTTTTAGCTTACTGATGCCAACCAATGTGTGTCCAAGATTGTGTTACCAAATGTGTTTGTAGTGTTGGCAGATTAACAGCCCCGGTTTTGTGAGTGGTCGAAGTTGAATTAAACTGAAGGTGAGGGCTCGGTCCTCGCAATGCTTGACCCTGATTGGCTGAATGTAGCAACTCTTCTAATTAAAATTAGGTAAACCTGCTGAGTTCATATCCTGCTGGCTGGCCTGGTTGGACGGATTTCAGTAGCGCAGAGAGCCAATCAGAAAGAAACACACACACACACACACACACACACACACACACACACACACACACACAGAGAGAGAGAGAGAGAGAGAATCCGAAAGCTTAAAGTGTGTGAGCTTTTTAATTCTCTGAGATGTTACAGGGAAAGGTTTTGTTCAGTAACGCCGGACCTGCTGCTGTCCGTGGTGCTGAAATCACCAAGGGCAGCAATTCCAAAGCTGAGCACAAGTACTTCTTTAGAAGTCCTCAAGAGCCAGTCATATTTTACCATTCATCAACTGACTTACCGGTGGATACAAAAAAAATCATATCGTAATTAATTAAATCCCATAGTTAATTAATGTCAATTTCCATTTAATTTCCATTAAGTTATTACATTCTAATGAATTAACTAATTAATGTATCATAACTCATAAAGTACAGCTGCATTGTGACGTATAAGATTTTATATATTATAATGTATTTGTTAATAATTGTCAGATCTTACTGTGTTTAGTAGTAAAGGATTAATTCCTGATCAGGGCATCAAACACTGCTCTTTATTAAATGTGTGCACTGGATGTCCTCTGGGGCCACTGCAGTGAGACACCTGTTGCAACATAACCATTTTCACTGCCAGCTCCTCATACATATACTTGGAGAAAGCATTTTTCTTTTAACATTTTGACTACATGATATATGTAAAACCGATAAAGCCACCATGGCATTTATTTATCATTTACAAATTTTGTACCCACCAACACAAACTCTTATATAATATTTGCCCTTTGAGGGTGTAATAGATGTATAACTTAACTCCAGTAGCTTTCAGAGCACATTTATACTGCAATGCTATAGTAGATTCAGTGAGCATCAATATCTACTGTTATACTTTTAGTGCAGGTGACAAAATTCAGGCACAGGTAGCCTTAGAAAGGAGTCTTGAGGTCATGAGACTGGTACTGCTGAAGCAGTTGAAGCAGTTTCTAAACACAACCCAGTGTCTTGTTGCAGTTCTTGCTGAAATATAAGGGTCCAAAGTACGAAAAATGGATGATAAAAAGTTCCAGGTTCAGAGGCTAAAGTTCTGTTATTGTATTTTTGTAACAGGAAGGTTAAATGAAAACTGTTCAAAGTGCAGAGAAGATGGTAGATCCCTCCATAAGGACTCAAAGTGTTTAGCATTTTGGATTGTTAGCAGCTAAGTACACCTTTCTGCCACATGTCAATAATCTCTAATTTATCCAAATAACATTTCTATTAATCAGTTTTTGTGTTTAGCTGCTTCCTTTACAAACACACTAAGAAATCAAAGTCTTCATTTCAGAGCAGCTTTCTTGAAGGAGATGCTAGATGCTCCAAAACTATTTACATCCTGTTTGTGTATAAAGTGCCTTTCAAACACTCAAATAAATTAGCAGTGCTTTAAATGGGTTGTAGAAATGCATTAAAACACAATAAACTGAGAAATAAAAGCAGATAAAAGATAAACATGCTGAGCATTATTTTTGTAAGGGTGGAGGCAGCATGTAGATCATGAATGAAGTCCAGTATAATATTACATTACATTTTATTATTGTTTAAGTGAAGCTCCTGTTATAGATGAAACTAAGATTAAACTGGTGAGTCCTTCCACCCGTACACAGAAAACTGCAGCTCCTTCATCGTAACAGAGGGGGATGACAGTGACTGAATCATAGGCCATTAATAATAAATATTTTCCCTGAAGCGATGCATCAGTCTAACTGTCTGCATGTTTTCCTGGAGGTGAATGGACTGATGTGGACCTGCAGGGACAAATGGACATTGTCCTACTGGCTCTGAAACCTGACACTCTGCAGGCCTTTTGGGCTCGTGACAGTGATGGCTGATGAGGGACGATACATCCCTGCTGGAGCTTAAGGGAAGAGGGGAGTAAGGGCAGTAAATGCCTAAGTGAATATCCTGTCTTCTGAACGTGGGCTACAGCCTATTAGCAGAGTTAATCTAATAATGCTGCCCCCGGGTCCAGACTGATATTTGATTTTGATACACGGCCACAGGCTGGGCAAGCTCACCAGTTATCAAGCAAATTGCAAAACAGACATTTAACATTTTAAATATTCATGTCTCGGCAGATAGAGTGAAAATGTGCCGTAAACACCATAAAAATCCTCTTCCAGTCTTTGGATTGATTGGTTTAAGCCATACTCTGACATCTTCCATACCACCTTCCTTTCAGAAACCAGTGCTATTTTGTTCATTCAACAGTCCAGGCTAATGATTGTAGTTTATCTTAATTTTGGAAAGAGGAGCTGAAAAAAAACAACCACAACTTGGGGTCTAATTTTACACATTTTCTGCAGCTTTCGGGCTAATCCACCAGCAGAAGTATTGAACACACTGAGAACTTCTCATTTGTTTGTTTAATAGATCTGCTTGATATTTCACTCAAACAGCAGTTGACAGGTGCTGCTGCTACATGGGATTTTTCTGGAGCTTTAAACCACATGTCATAACAATCGTCAGTGGGTAAAGGGTGCCCCAAAGGGCTGTTAGGTGGACTAAAATTATAGAATTTGATGAGTGTATAGTTTAAAAGAGGACTGCAGAGCGGGAAACAAGAGCCAATCAGGGTTGGCCTATGATATATAAACACAATTATCAAACCAAAGTAGTGGAAAACTAGATAAAATCTTAAAGGGAGTTATAGCTGTTGTATTGCAAATTACTGAAATTCTTTACCTTTGGTCTACTCACTAAAGTTTTCTGGAGATTTTTCCTCCATTGCTTATTCCTCAGTCTAAAGATCGGGTGTTCCTGTGAAAAGCTCCAGAGCAAATAAAGCTTTAGGCCTTGAGCAGTTTTATATCTTTTATTATGGCAGTTCTTTCACAAGCTCTAGATTCATTTACTGCCTTTTTAAAGAAACTTTGTTGCATTGTTTACTCTTTAACAATCATCAGACTGTTTACTTGAGCTCCCCAGAACAACTGAATAAAAAGCCCTCGATTTTCCATTTATTTTAAATGTTACATTTGCATTTGCCTGTCTGCACAACAAGTGTATACGCAGGCCTTGAGGTGGCATCGTCAGTGACATGAACTTGTTTATTTGGAGCTTTCATCTGCACTGTAAACACCATTTGATTATGAAAGTGTTTCTTAAAAGCCGCACTAAAAAGCTATAAGAGTGCCATGAATGACATGAGAACATTGCTGTTTTTCTTATCATGGTTTAAATAACGATTTTCTAATGTGAAGCATATTGTGTTCATTCCCAACTCCAAAAGTGTATTCTTGGAATGTACTAGAGTGGCTTTTTATTTGTTTTATACTGGGTCTCACTCAGACAATCAAAGCAGTGCTATAGATTACCTTCATTAGGCATATCTGCTCTCACTGACATCAGCAAAGGTGAAAAAACGGTGTTTAGAGCTTTTGTTTTGAGCTTCTGACTTTGGGGGGTGTATTTGCACTGATGTGCTTACTTCCTTATTCAAACTTTTGGACATTTTTTTTTTTAATATTAGCACCCACCATTGTAACAGTATGAATATGGCAGAGAGTAAGAAAAAAAATAGCCCCCTTCAAGGTTTACTCTAAATGTTTAGCTACTAACACAAGGTCCAGCTACATAAGAAATACATTGTCTAACGCAGAGCTTGCAATATGGTTGAAGGGTTAGAGTGAAAATTTGCAATGAAGTTGGATTTTGTTGTTTGTTTGTTTTTTTGACAAATTAATCATAACTCGAGGACCATTTAATAGCAAGACTATACCACACAGACATGATTAGGAGCGGCCATGATAGCAAAAATATCTTCACTCATCAGGTAAATCCACTCATCCAGCTAAAAACGTGTTTATTCCCCAAGCTTATATGTATCAAAGCTTTAATCATATAATCCAATGTCTCTTAAGAAAAATCTTCCTGTTTCTCGGTTCAGAGCAGAATTACAAGATCTACATCTGTAATGAGGTCTTTCACACCAAAGCTAAGATGCTTTAAAAAAGCCTCAGACAGAGAGGATTCAAAGAGGCTCTGATTAAAAAAGCCTCATGTTTTTTTAAACATATCTCGAGCTGAATACCTTATCATTACAAATCTAAAGAAGGAGAACAAGGAATTGTTTATGCCACGCAGTATTTACTGGCATTTGAGGCTGTGAAGAGTTTAATCAAAGAAGCCTGGCATTATTTGTGAAACAGATCTAGTTCTTAACAATTGTTTTTCTCAGCCCACTCAAACGCGCTGTAAGGGCCCTCTCAGCTGAGCAGACCTTCCCCTGCATCACCCTGACATTTCCTCATCTGGAAATTACCCAGGTGCTCATTGCCAACTATTATAACTCATTTAACCACCAACTCATTGGAAAAAAATACAACATTAAGCAAGTTTTACATTGTATACACACCTCAGTGTGGATTAATACACACTAGTTTGTACAGTTGAACACAGCAGCACTATCACAGACATCTAGTGCTGTGGATGTACACTTAGACAAAGTGCAACACTTCCTCTTTCAGATATGTGGGTATTGAGGCAATAAAACATCCACCCAGAGTGGGAGATATAAACTCTTTGCTCCTAAAACTTGAACTCTGCTGTATATACACACTGAGCACTTCAGCCCCTAAAGGCCTTAATGATGACTTTGACATTAAATCATTTTTTGTGATTGAACACCCCGCGCTGCTGTGTGGGCTTTATTTTTCATATAGTTTCATTTGTGACTGCTCAATTTTTCTCTCGCTGTTATCCTCCCCATGGTAATAATAATAGACAGAGGTGCACACAGAAGCAAAATATACGAGTCCTTTATGGATTACCGATTATGCGGAGCATTTTATTTAAAATCTCATATACAATTTATTGTTATTTATCCTGGAAAGTCAGACTCTTGAGATGTTGTTGGTGTCCAGGTCAAAATAGGTAGCTCTGTCAGCTCAGTTACATTCAATTATAATACACACACAAAAATAAACAAACAGCAGTGCACACAAATGTGTGCAACAAAGAGATATCACAAAATGATAAACTTCAAAACTAAGAAAATGTGAAATATGAGAATAAGTGAACCTAGCTCAGGTCCAACAGGGGAAGCAGTAAGTCTGCAGAAGCAGCTTCCAGGTCATTTAAAATGATCTTGAATCCGCTAAGATAAACCAGCTCCCCGAGATTTAATTGATTTTGCAGCTGGTAGTCAGCAGGCTAAGCAAGATGTTGATGCATTATTACATTATTTTATAAATTATTATAGATTATTTTTATATGCTTATATTGATTGCTGACACTAAGTAACTCTTTCTTTGCATTTTCTGTGTAAGTTTTGTACTCACACAGCAAGTAAAACTCAACACTGTAATCAATATGCTTTTATTTTCAAATTTTGTCACACTCCATTTCCAGTGAATCAGTTTTCATGGTCAGTGGTAATAGTTTGTTGAAATGGACTGCTATTTGATAAAGTCAAAATATGAGACGTGATTTTTACACTTGATCATATACTTCCAAATCTGCTCTGGGGTAAGTGTGAGCTTGTCAGTTCCTCTTATCAATACTGTCATGATTCTCATTTGTTGTGCGTTGTAAAACAATGAAGTGTAAGTTTATTGTGCACCAGTGAAATTTTATTTCTGAATGCAAAACAAACACAAATTTAACCAGTATCAGATCCCAGTACTGATATTTTCCTGCTTGTTTACTTCCTCTCTCTGTGTCTGCAGACAGAAAATTTGTATTGCAATTTTTATCATACAATAAAAATGCTTTAAAGCTTAACTCTCATCAGGATATTTGACAGTGCAAAAGGATGGGCCAAAACAGATAAATATCAACCACTGACACCCAGGCCGTTTTCCTTCCCTCAACATAAAACAGTGCCGTTTTGTCAAAGCTGCTAGTGTGCACTACAAAGTGTCCTTGGGCGTTGTGGTTATGGCATCGGTGAAATAGGGCTGTCAGTCCCAACTCATCATTTATCAATGTGAACGAGGCTATTTTAACACAAAGCAACATTTGGTCCGGAACCCAACCATCTAGTTTTTGATCCTTGACCCAAAATGAAAATGAAAGTATAAAGGGGAAATTATTCAGAAAGTGGAAACAAAAGAAAAACACAAAGATCACTACTGCTACACAACTTCAAACTCAGCATAACATAAAGGTGTTAATTCTAGAGAGCGATGGGGTGGTTAATGCCAGCCTCCAACAAATGCTGCCAAATGATTTAAAAAACCTAATAATGCATTTAATCTGCATATAGACATTTTAACATCTTATTAATTCAGTTGTGCTACTGTTCTGCAGAACAAAGAGGACGGGAGCACCTCAAGGTTACTTTTTCATGTTTAAACTACATGAATAGGTGGCTTGATGAAAGATTTTAATTGTACTTTTCTATGAAAATACTATTAAGTGAAGGTTAATTTCAGTTGGTGGAAAAATAATCCCGAACAGCAGCTGGCTGATCAACTCGCCCAACACAATTTTTTTACTGGTGCCAAACCAGTGGTTATGTCAGACCCTGCAATATTGTTATTGCCGGTGCATTAAGGCACAGTGTGGACTGCTGTGACACTGGCATGCCCCGAGATTAGAACACAGGTGAATTGATTGCTTATCAATATGCCATTATTAGTCACCAAGCCCAGTATCGGTTGACCCAGACACCCATATTCATGACCATGGAGCTTTTCATAAACTGAGTCCCTTTTTCTGCTCTATTTCTTCAGTCAGTTCAGATTCACTAATATGTGAGTTGTTGATAAATCGCAACACTGATGCTGAACACCTGTGCAAGTTTCCCACAGAGAAACTTGATCAGGAATTAATAAGGAAGAAGGGAATGATAAGGAAAATCAATAAAATGTTATCAATGCTCATCATTAACGATCGTCTCTTTATAGATGTTTCTTTAATGTTCAGCTGGAAAAGAAATACACAAATAGTTTACATTATTTTCTGACCTTGTGTACTTCTCAATGGAACGACCTTGTGTTACTAAAATAAGTGCACTGTTTTCAGAGAGCCCCTTTAGAGAATTCTCTGACTTATTCAAATTATCCTTGAAGTTGGCTTTATCAATCTCTGCTTCAGTGCATAGCTGACCTGCATCAGTTCATTCAAGCGAAAGCCTCCGAGGTCCTTTTAAACCCACAAGGTTAATATGACATGATGAAAAATGAGCTCTCTGACCACTGACCTTAATATACTATTAATATGCCACTCACAGCCCAGCCAGCAGGTCAAAGCTGCAGTAATGGCTGCTTGAGGAATGCCTAGAGGAAGAAAAAAGAAAAGAACCCATCGGAACAAATAGATGCGGCTGTAATGATTAATGTCAGGCTGCATCCCACCGTTAATATCCGTAAGTGTTGTAGCTTTGAGAAATGGTCATTGATCTGAGCGATGCTGGTAAGGGCCTCTGGTGAACAAGCCGTGTGTTTTCTTTGATGTATGACATGTTGGGATAAAAGGCCAAACTGAGGCCTGAAAACAAGAATTTTTGGATGATAGGAAAGATGACACATGGACCATGAAATGGATAGAAGATTAATATTGGATAGACAGCTCCAATATTAAACCGAAAGCAGATAGTTTCTCTCCGTTCCTGAAAAGAGTCTGAGGTTTAATTTATCACTGGTACTACAGAGAGTAGCCAAAACGATAAGAACACCAGACAAGATATGAATGTCAAGCAAGTATAGCTCCAGGTTTTGTTTGCTGCTTTTGCATTACCATATGCAGGGTTTGCAGAGTGATTGTGAAACACAAGTTCATATCGTGAACCTTGTACAAAGAAGGAGAGAAAAGTGCTCTATCAGTTTCATTATCTGCAACCACAGACTAATGGATAAAGTCACTTTGTATATGAACATAGCTTCCAGGTTTGAATACTAAAACCCGTTTGCCTTAAGGGAAGACTCCATGGGCTATACAACTTTTATCCAGATGAATAAAAGTCTATCAAACAATAGCTCTTTGGCTGCGATCTCAGTAAACATTTTCCTGTTGCGTTATTGGCTCAGTCATCGTTTTTGAATCATATAAATGAAACATAATGGTATATTTTTTAGTAAAAATAAATTATGGTCATTACTCGAATCAGAAAGGAAGATTTTCCAGGGTTTGCTGAAAAGGCACAAGTTGTTAGCTAATGAGCATGCCGTCATTGGTGCAGCCAACGATCCAATCATCAATCATTGCCAACTTTTGGATGACATCAGATACACTGATCTTTTGGACTGTCTTTGAAATCTCTCAGTGAGTCCTTGGGATGTCAGTGGAACAGATATGACTTGTTTTTGCAATCACAGGAGTTGACCCCTGCTGGTGAGTAATTAGATTTGTGTTAGATTTCAGGTCGGATGCAGAAGCATGTTCAAATTTGGGGCTTTTTACCTGTTGCTAGGCAGTCAGTAGGCTGTGGGCCTCTTGCCTCAACCTCAAATAGGCAACATCATTAGGGAATGATGTTATGCCATCATGTGGCATCTCTTACCAGTGATGTCACAGAATGATATTTCAGAGATTGAAAATGTTTCATTACTCATGATAACTAACCAAGAAAATTAAAGGTGATGTCACACAACTACAAAGAAGAGGTGTATTAGAGTTTATGCACTGATCCTCACATTTGTTTTTGCTGATGCTAACATGCTTAAAGATGCCGTGCAATAACAGATATCTAAGCAGAGGTTTGAGGATGTAAAGTCCTAATAAACAGGACGAAATCACAAAAATTGTGTGTGCCTGGTGCACCAGTGAGTACTGCACAAGTAATGAGAAAGGTCTCAAAGTTTTATCATACTTTATAGCTTGGTAGGATGAAACTTTGGATATAGCATTTAAAGTCAATGCTCCAGCAAAAACTGTAGTATTTTAGCACAGGTATCAGCAGTTGCTCCTAGAATTTGCACTCGGTCTAAGCTGCTTTAGACTGAAATGCCTACAAATGGTATTTAAGTTTAATCAGACCTTTAACTTCTTCAGACTCTTCCCCATTTACCTTGGAGACGGGTGATAAAACTCAAAAAAGTGACAAAGGACCCCAAGCTGCCCATGGCATGGAAGTGACAGTAAATAAACAGTTGCTCTTGGAACTTGCACTTGCTTTTTCTTTCACTGTGAGTATTATTGATGAACAATTGAGGCTAGACTAATCAGAAATCATCTCTGCATCAGTCGTCATGAAGATAGTCTAGCTATTTAGTAGTTAGTTTCAAGCTACAGCTGGATAAGCTAAACTATCTCCTTGACATGATTGGAATGATTTTTAATCCATCCTCAATCATTTAACATATAAACCAGTGGTGTCAAACATAAGGTCCAGGGACCTTGCGTGTTGTGCGTGGCCCTCGATGTAAAATGAATTTGACAGCTCTGGTCTAAACTGTATTTGTGTATTTGTGTCAGTTTGTCCCCTCCCTTAAAATTTATCTCTGTTTACGTTTGACCTTTGCCCTCTCTCTGGTCTCCAGGGGGACTTGTTGAACCCATGCAGGTGTGACGGCTCAGTGCGGTATACCCACCAGCAGTGCCTGCTGAAGTGGATCAGCGAACGGGGCTGCTGGACCTGCGAGCTGTGCTGCTACCGTTTCCAGGTGATCGCCATCAATCTGAAGAGACCATGGCAGGTATAATACTGCTGAAAGGCAGAGTATTTACCCTCTGCTGAAGGTTGCCTCACTTTCAGACTTAACTGTTCTCTCTTTATTATGATAGCAGTAACAACTTTTAAAATAACTCAATAGAGAAATGCATAATTAAAGCCATGAAAGGTCCAACCATGGATTATTTAACAAACAGATTAAATTGAGTTATTTTTCTAGGCTTTTGTTTGGTTTTGTTGTTTAGTGTCTTTAAAACTTTTAAATTTAACACACACAACCCAAAAGGGGTTTAAGGGGCTTTTAGGAAAGGCACTAACTGTTTGTGAGTCAGTTACTTGTTATGAAAAATAATACAAAGTCCTCCAAATGGAATGACAAAATAGATTTGTTTGCCTTTTCTAAACTTCTACCTCTATGATTAAGGTTTGGGTAGATTTGTGCAACTAAAACTGCTTAGTTAAGGTTCAGGAAAAGTGGCAGTCATTATATACAATGGAGATATGGAAGATGTTAGCTGACCACATAAATAAATAATTACACTCTGACTGTTTAAATTTTGTGTTGTGACATTTTAAATAAATTTGATATGTATTTGTGAAAGGGCTGTTCAGTGGGGCAGTGCTTAGGACTTGCTTACAGCAAGCCTGGGTTTAAACCTGCTGGAGGGTGTGGCGTTTGCATGTTCTCCCTGTGCCTGTGTGGCTTCTCTCCAAGTAGTTTCTTCCCTCAGTCCAAAGACATACATGTTAATTGGTTATTCTTTTTTTGGCCTGAGGTGTGAATATAAGTATAAATGGTTGTCTGTTTCTCTGTGTTTGCCCTGCCAACTTTTCCATGGTACCCTGCTCTATGCTTAGTGTAGGCTGGGATAAGCTAGTAGCGTAGCAGAGCAGAGTGCTGTTTCATTATGTGAATTTTCCTTTTTTTCATGCTTGGTCAAGTACTTCCAATTATTTTGGTTTTCCTGAATTCATTTTTTTTTTATCAGACCACTTGCGTACACTGCTCAAAACAACAAACAAAAACAAAACAATCTTGTCTGATCTGGTCAGTTAAGGGTTGTTAATCAGTTTCAGCTGCTTTGATGTTAAATTAAAAACAGGGGCAACAATGACACAACCGCCAAAGCAAGACTGGTTTAATAGGTGGAGGCCACTGACGCTTTGTCCCTCCTCATCTTTTCTGATGGTTTCACTAGTTTTAGCATTTGGCTAGGTCAGTGTCACTACTTAATAGCTTGCTCAAAGGGGAATCATATGATTTTGGGGGTTTTCTCTGTTTTCTTTATATTATTGGTGAGGAAAGGTCTCAAACGCCAGTCCTTGAGGTCCAGTGTCCTGAAATTTTTCCATGTGTCCCTGTTGCCACCTCAGCATGCATTCAAGTTCTATAGTCTTGCTAATAACCTACAAATCGTCTTCAGGTGTGTTGCAGCAAGGACATATGGAAAAGTTTCAGGACAGCGGCCCTTGAGGACTTGAGTTCGAGACCCCTGTAGAGTCTTCGCCTTACAATTTAAAGTGCCTTGAGTCAACTGGCAATGCCTGGGCCCTGTAGAGGTTGCACAGGTAGGCATTTGTGAATGCCAGTTGAATACTAGAGTTGGTAAATCCCTGTGCTTTTTACAGATGAAAGCAGGTTCAGTGTGAGCATATGTGACAGACATAAAAAGGATCTGGAGAAGCCATGGACAGTGTTATGCTCAAACAGCAACCTGACTGCCATGAAAACCTTAGACCCACTGTCAGACCTCATGCGGGTGCAGTGAGTCCTGGGTTCTTTCTGTTGTTCGACAATGCCCGGCCTCATGTTAATAAAACTGTTAGGTTAGGGTAAGAAAAAGAACATGATACGGGTCAAAATACAAAGGTTGTTGGTTTTTCTAAACTCCATATTCTTTCCCCTGGAGACTCTTGACAACATATGTGCTGCATGCACAAAGTATACTTCCTTATGAGTTTCAAAGTCATTCTTAACGTCTTGTTAAAAACATATGGCCAAATCCTATTCATGAACTGAACAAATAGAATATCTCACATTGGTTTTTCATGGTTTTCTGTGGCAGAGGTAAAAACCACATAAAAGGTGGTTTCTGGTTTATTTTAACTGTCTAATAAGGTCATTCCACTTCACTACTTTCTAAATGAGATTCTTCAGTCTTCATACTTGCAAACTGTGTGGAAAGGACAGAGTACATCAAAAAACAGATGTTTCAGGGTCATTTCGATGACTGTTATTTTTAATATACAATTTTGAGCTAAAAGATCCTGTCATGTTTTTTTTTCTTTTTACCCCATTAATGTTGAAAACAGCAGCTGTTTTGGAGACCTTCAGCAGTCCTTTGCTGCTCTGCATGATTATACCAAACAGTCACATTATGGAGTAACTGATGATTTTTTTGGTAACTGCCAATTCAGTGCACATGGATATGATTGAAAAAGCGAGTGCTCTTTTTTCCAAAACAAAATGCTCTCTGAGATTTGTAGTTTTAAGAGGCTAAAAATGACACATGCCACCAAACTGCAGTCATTTGTTTCCTGTCTGCCTTTTTTTAACTGCTTTTTACTACCGTCGAGGTTACAATTTGCCCCCACTAAGCATGCTCTCTAAATTATTATAGGGGCATTAACTAGAAATTGTTTTTACAGTCACTGATGTTATCGACCCATCAGTTGGATTTATGCTCAGAAATATTCACAGCTTCTCAGTTGGAGTAAAAACAGCCTCACGGAGCCAAACTGGTAAAAAGCCATTTCACTGGCAAGCTGACAACAGATAAACCCACCTGCGTCTGTTAGAGCTGCTCTTGTAAAATGTTGGCTTAAAGTCATACTCAGAACCCAAATGTGGAAGTGCACTTATCCTATGATGATGATGATGCACACTTTTCTCCGTACTGACGTTTAAATAAGCGCCTCTAATTGCAGTTCAGTGACTCATTGTGCACAGAAAGTAGAAATAAGTGGATGAATCTTGACCTTTTTCAAAGTAGGATTTAACCCTTCAGATGCAGAGTTGTTTTGCAAAAACTTTAGATTATAAACTAGACGGATTTTTTTTAGCAGCAGTTACACAGCTTCAACCACAATGACACATCAGATCCATAGCTGGAAATACACAATGCTGCAGTCAGGGCTGAAATAACAGAGAAGGTCAATGCAAACATATAATGTCGGTATTCTTAAACCAAGAAATATAAAAGAACTGGAGTACCTGTTACAGCAAAAAGGCATTTGGTTTGAAGGTGTACCCTGGGTTTGATCTGGTGTAATCTGTCTCGGGCCTGCCATGATTAAGCAGTTAAAAAGTTGGATGGAGGGTTTAAATATGACAATGATGTAGTCGCTGAAGTCAATAATAAGTAATGCAGCCTCACCAGACAGACGCACATAATTAACATTTCTAGCTTTAGTTGAATCTCAGTATCCACTTGAAATAGTAGCCCTCAAAAAGATTTACTCCGGTTACATTGCTAGAAATTTGAAAGACTTGAGCACTAGTGATGGCTGTAATAAGCAGTTGCTTTACCACTTTAGTTCTTAGACTGAAACATGTCAGCATATATTTGATGAGCTGACATTAAAATGTCAAAATTTACAGCAGAACTGAACACAGCACGGTCCAAAAATGCTTTTGATTTTCCCTTTTATAGAAACATCCATCCATCCATTCGCTTCCGCTTATCCTTTTCAGGGTCACGGGGGGCGCTGGAGCCTATCCCAGCTGTCATAGGGCTAGAGGCGGGGTACACCCTGGACAGGTCGCCAGTCTGTCACAGGGCTAACACAGAGACAGACAACCATTTGCGCTCACATTCACTTCCGTATTAACACCTATGGGCAATTTGGATTAATCAGTTAACCTATCCCCACAAGCTGCATGTCTTTGGACGGTGGGAGGAAGCCGGAGTACCCGGACGGAACCCACGCAAACACGGGGAGAACATGCAAACTCCACACAGAAAGACCCCGGCCTGATGGTGGAATTGAACTCAGGACCTTCGTGCTGTGCCACAACAGTGCTTTTTAAATAAAAACAGTACAAGGATATTTTTTTAAATAACCCATTTAGAGTTTGGTCTATAGTTGAAATGTGGCTGTTTTGATTGACAGATGTGCTGCTGATATGGGCGGCTGTAGCCCATTGATATCTCGTAGGCTTAATCTCTGCTTATTTGAGTCGCTGAATTGAACCTCTGAACTGTGTTTGTGTTTTGTATTTTCAGTGTCACTGTCTGATAAATAGCATATCTTGCTGCGTGGTACAGACTATAGAAGAAGTTAATTCTCTGTGTGGATGCAACTTGCTAACCAAGATTGCTAGCTTTAAGAGAAAGTTTAGCACTCAATAATAAAGAGAACCTATAGGTTTCAGAGTAGAAGTTGTTAAGAGAAAGCTTGGTTAACAAACGGATGGTGTGACATTAGAGAAAAGATGTGTAGGTGTACACACGGGTGTTCACAGACAAGGACTACAGCTTTCTTGGCTGCTGCCTCAAAGCACATTGTGCGCTGTCTGTCTTGCGTGCTGCACAATATCGTTTAATATTTAGTATCTACTGTTATCTACTGCTAGCTCGTTTATTGTGATGGTGCTGTATTTATTATTTTGCTCTTTTTTTGTTTGCTTTCTCTTCAGTTTTTTTTCTCCATACAGGTGATCTCTTTCTTTCATTCTTTCTCCCTGTCCTATCCCCCAGTCATGTCTGTCCCGTTTGTAGCAACCGAAAATAAAATAAATGCATAATTATAACCAAGGTCAATCAAATGGACCAATATGGCAAGGCCATGATGATCCACTTGGTAAAATAAATCCGCTTGGCATCTTTCTTGGCCTTAAGACAACAATTCTGATGGCTAAAGATCCAAACGGGACAAAAAAAAAAAAAAAAAAAGAGAAAAGATGTGTAACCAGTATCCAGTGACAGCTGTGATCTTTCTGAATTATAGAAATCTATAACTGAGATATTTTTGCCTCTATTGCTCTTTTTTTTTTGCTCAGCTAAACTTAAAGAAAATGTCTCTTCTCTTAAAGTAATCAAGTACAGAATTTTTTATTGATGAAAACAGAGACAGCGATGGCTGCTTTTGGTGGCTTGAGATGGATGCAGCGTTGAGTATGAACCTGCTGTGTGTTTCTGGTGCCACTTCACGTCACTGCTGTCATTTTGGAGCATCAGGATTCCTGCAGTCGTTCTTTCTTTCAAAAGCCCGAACAGACAGAGACTCCTGAGGCTTAAAATATCTGCATTCTGGATCGTTTCTCTCACTGAAGAACATTCAGGCCTTTTCATATCTGTTCGCTCCAGATGGGAGTTGAGTCACTGGCAGACTGAACAAACACACAGCTGAGGCTCAGCAGAGCTTTAGTTTCTGTCCACAAAGTCCGCCTTAAGTCTTTTCTTCTGAAATGAGCATCGTGCAGCTTCAGTCATCTGCTCGTTGTCAACAATCTTCTGTTTCCAAGTATTTTTATTCAAAAGTTTATTCTGTACTTTCTGGTATCTCCCTCTCCATTCTCCTATTTTCTGTTTTCTTATTGTTATTGATTGAGCTCCATAGTTTTTCCCTCCTTTTGTCCTCCTTTTTTACTTTCTTCATGGCCTCCTTCCACTGCTTCTTGGCCATCCTCATCTCCTTTTTGGAGACTTTGTCATTCTTGTAGCATGTTTTCAGGGTAGTCTTGAACTGTTTGGTCATTTCTTTGTATTGTCGTCTGTCAGAGTTCCTCGTCCTGTTTTGGTTAATGTGTTTATCCAGCCATGTGTAGGTCCTTCTAGTTAGGTTGGCTATAGCCTGTTGGACAGAGGAGATGACAGGCTCTTTCACTCAGGTTTTTGTTTACATATGTATACAAAATATATATATAAATATATAACTTAGCAGAAGTTGCATCACATTAATTACATTTTGTGCCTCTTGTGTTTTCCTTACTTTTCGTATCCTGCTCAGGAGTTTACTCCAGCTCAGTGACAGTCTTTTCATCCTACTTTGTGTCTTCAAAGAAACATAAATAACAAATCACAAATACTACCAAGAATGTTGCTACAAAGATGACTGCCTAACAACATCTACTGCAGTTTTTAACTTATTTTAAATCTTCTTACATCATTTTTTTCACTATACTCCCACAAGGACACTTAAAGAAAACCTTTACCACCAAATTACCTGTATTCAGTTTAGATTTAAACTCCTTATTATACTATATTTAGATTTTAAATTCATATGTTTTTTATCTTTACTGAGCAACATTGGTTTTCATGTTTTGGTGTCTGTAATTATCTGTAATTGTATCTGTACAATATCAAGACAGTAGTTTCCCAACCTTTGGGATAAATAAAATCAGGCTTATTTTATTTCTCTGATAATATTTTTTAAGTTTTTACTCAAGCAAGATTTTTTAAACGCAGGAATTTTGCTTTTTACAGAGTAACTTTACAGAGTATTTTATTCTTGTATTATGTGTTGCCTCTCTGTGCCGTTCTGGACCACCCCCAGCCCTCCTTCTACTGTTAAATGGCTCTGTGGAAGTCACTTTTACATTTGCTTTAGTGCACCACCTTTATTCTCGTGTTTTAAAACTGCAACCCTTCAAACTTCACTTTAGTTTTCCATTAGCACACACAATCGGTGTACAATATTGGAATGTTAAACATCCATGAATTTTTTCGGAGTCCTTTGCAACGAGATTTAGTCATGTCCATTATGCAGGTGCAATGAATGGAGTTAAAAACGTTATATTTTTCTTGAATGAGACAAGCTAAAGTCACCTGACTACACACCTTATTTGTATGCAAATATGTTTTAATTAACAGGAATGTGGCACCATGTAAAAAAAAAAGGGAAAAAAAAGCAGGTTTATTTTGGTGCAGTTTTATTTTCTACTAAGCAAAGCACTGACTTTAGGGTGAATAAAGAGGCCCATTTTTATTTTGATACATAGATTTTTATATTAGCAGGACTGTGGCACACGTGTGTAGGCTATGTGAGCTTAAAACTGTGAAATCAGTCTAATGCTTAGTTTCCGAGATTGGACCAGATTGCGCATGCACAGGGTGCAGTCCTAAAGTCCCAAGTTATGTAAAAATGCCCTCTGAGATCAAACCCCAGTGCATTATTACCATACTGACAATGCATGAACACCAAGCTATTTTCAAGCGTGCAGCCTATTTGAAAGCAGTTAAAATTTGAAAAGATGCAAAATGACCAATTTAAAGTAGCGCAGTACAGTGCGACACTGATGCATTCTGTTATGCATGTTTGAATCTGATGCATAATGATGCATATTTAAGGTCACTTTTAGCAGGTCTGTCTTGTGAGCCTCCCCACATCACTGCACTGATATCATTCGAAGCTGCTTTGTTATACTTAATAAAAGTAGTTATATGCAGCAAGTTAGTGAGTGGAGTGTTTGAGTGTTTACCATCTCGGTGGAGGGTTTTCTGCGCGCTTCTCTCGCTTCCTTTCAGGCTTTTCTTAACTGATAGTTGTATAATAAAAGGAAGGCTAAGAAAAAACTCTGTGTACAACAACCAGACAACTTAAAATCTTTCGAGGTGTTTTCGCGGCTCCGTTTTGTGGCTTCTCGTTTCGAACAGAACATGACGTCACGTTTTTCTGCTGTATGAAAATATTCTATTTCTTTGTTAGGCATCATTTAAAATCACACGAGGCTGTATAAACTAACATAAACTGCTGTGTTGTTTTCAAATCGTTGTTGGTGAACTGTTCACAGCTACTGCTGCACATAGTGTTGTCTAAAATAAAAGCACAATTTAGGGGGATAATGGTTTCTCATTGTGTTTTTTGGTCCTCACAGGGTGGTTTTGTGCAATTCCGCCTCTGTTATCGCCAAATAAAACGAGTGTAGTAATTATCCCTGCGCTCAGTGGCGGACTGTGGGGAGTATTCTGGTGGTATGAATAGTTGTATTGACCCGCAATAATATAGAAACCGGATATGAGCTGAAAGAACTGCCAGAGTTCACCAATCACATAGTGGATAATCTCTCTGCCTCGCAGCAGTGTCCACAGGGTTCATGCCTGCTGGCCTCATGCTTATGTATAAATAAACTTTAGACGCGTTTCTTGGCGAAATGGACGGTCAGAAGACTGAGAGGGGGGATAAAACAAGGTGATCCTTAACACAGATACAACTAAATGTATTCTAAGACAGCGGTCCCCAACCCCCGGGCCTCGGACCGGTACCGGTCCGTGAGTCGTTTGGTACCGGGCCGCGAGAGTTGAGGCTCAGGTGTGAAATGTAGGGTTTTCAGGGTTTTTATCGGTTTTCAGCGTTATTTTGTTAGCGTTTTTATCGTTTACTCTGTTTTCCTGGGTCTTTTCACGTGTGTTATGAATACATTTTCTTTTTTTCGGTACCGGTACTAGTTTTATTTTGTTGTATTTATCCGCGACACCTTAAAGGCCGGTCCATGAAAATATTGTCGGGCATAAACCGGTCCGTGGCACAAAAAAGGTTGGAGACCGCTGTTCTAAGAGACCAAGTCATTGAAGCCAACACACACACACACACACACACACACTTCGCTTCAGCGCATCTCAACCTGCAGTGAAATGTGTATGATTAGTGTATTCCTATTGATTCTTTTGTTTTTACAGAGTGCTCATCACCATAACATACCTTGAAAACTCAGCTTTCAGTGAGACCACTGTGTTATTTCCATTTTTTAAAGAAAAGGAAAAGAAAAAATCACCTTCCTCCCAGACATGATAGTGGGCACAATTATGTCTAGTACCTGTTACCAGGATTATTTAAATGAGGTGACAAAAAAACAGATGTGTTCTGCTTACATCCAGACTGTTTATGCTTCGCTGTATGGTAGATATAGAAAACAATGTCTTTTAGGGAACGGTAAGAGGTGGACAAAACCATTGTAAGACATTTAAGGGTCAAGTCAAGTCATTTTGCCCAAACTAAAAAAAAAAATAATAATAATTAAAAATTATTTTAGCACAATTAACAACTTATTATATTGTTTAATATTATTTAGATATACACTGTACTAGTTTGTTGTAGTGTAGACAGATGAGTGAGAAGAACTCGCTTCACTACAGTTTACTGGTTGAGCTCCAGTCCCACCCTCACACTGAACTTTGAGCAGTGACCAAGAGATTAATATCATCGAGAGGTGGGACAGGGAGGGCTGGGCTTCTCTGATTAGGCTGCTGCTTTCTGAAAATGGACGGATTGATTGACAGATGCATGGAATGAACAGATGGATGGATATAATTATATATTCAATAATGCATTAATAAGTCCAACATTGTTTTTAATCATAAAAATGGGACTCGGACTGCCTTGTCACACTGACATGATACTGTGGAAAGGCCCTCCTTTATTTATGTATTTGATTAACACAGGTCGGGCATCCGAATTTTGTGGTGCTGCAGATTGATCTGACATGGAGCAAAAATACTGTTTTGATTAGGTTGTCATGACAAAAGAATTTCCCACGGGATAAATAAAGATCTTACTTTATCTTAACTCTTGCTAAAATATAAACAAAGTCTTTAAAGTCAAAGTGTGTATTTAATGTATTGCCTCTGTTCTTTGTGCAGTGGCAGTCCATCACCATTACCCTGGTGGAGAAGGTGCAGATCATTGCGGTGTTCCTGGGCTCTCTCTTCCTTGTAGCCAGCATCTCCTGGCTGCTCTGGTCGGCGCTCAGCCCTCAGGCCACCTGGCAGCGTCGCGATGTCCTCTTCCAGATCTGCTACGGCATGTATGGCTTCATGGACCTGGTCTGTGTAGGTGAGAATGGGCATGCGGCTGCACACCAAACACCTGTGCTTTGTTGATGTGGCTGACTCTCTGTCGTGGCAATGTGTAACTTTTAGGAAATTCCCTGAAACTCAGACGTGGATGTATCTGACTTTTTGACAAAGGCATGACACCACAAGGCAACAATTCTAGTTTCAAGCAGAGCATTTGATCTCAAATGTACTTGTATAACAAAAATTCCTAAACATAGGCCTAAATTTCAGTGCTTAAAATCAGTGTCTTTATAAACTCATTCCTCAGATATGCTCTTAAACGTGTTTAGCTGTTCTGAGGACAGAGTGAGGGGGTGGTTGGCTGAGGGCAACAGAGCTAGAAAGTACAGTCAGTACTCAGTGCTCAGGTCTCCTCTCACCTCTGCAAAGCTGGACGATCACAACGTGAAGTGAGTGTGGAAAGTCTGAGAAATGATTCCCCCTATGAGTCAGAGCTGTTGGGTTTTTGTTATCCAACCATCCAATATACACGTTGGACAGACCATAAATCCTTCCTAAGACTCCAAGATCCACTTTACACTTCACGGACAGTGTATGATCTCGGGCAAAAAAATACTGCATTGTGCTTTGAGGTTATCGACTAAAGTATGAACAGCCTTGGAACCACAGTTTAGTGATCAGTTCAGTATTTTAGCAAATATTTCTTTGCCATCTTAAAGATTTTCTGTCAAATAGGATTATAAATAATAGTTTTCTCAACATCTAAATTGGTTGAAAAGTAATTCCTAAAATAGGATATAATATGAAATTTCCCCTTGTGGGACTAATAAAGGTATATCAAAATAGGATATGATACATGCACATCTACACCAGAAAATGGGACAGGTGCTGTGCTGAAATATGAGTCAATACGTGGGAAAAGAAAAATAACAGCTTGCACACTGCAGATCTCTAGTTTGCTTATTTATTGCATCGTGGTACCAAAACTTTAATAATTTTTCATGTACTGAAAAGTAATTACAAAATGAAAAGTTGTGCAGGGACTTGGTGTCTGTCTTTCTTGGACTTCTTTAGTACAAATAAAGTTTTTATTCAATAATTATTTTATATTAGCATTTCATAAACAAAAACAAAATGAAAGAAATAAAACATTTAGGCTTGTGAGAAGAGGAAGACATGAAAGCCATTTAATCGCTAAGAGATTCAAAATGACAGTGTCTTTCTGCGGAGACCATGAGTCACTGTACTGAATGAGTGTCAGTACGTATACATGAGCGCAGGTCTGATAATATGATTGTAAAATTGCTCACTGTGGTGTGTGTCATGGACAATCGGTGGTTGGCAGAGAAGTCCAACAATAGAAGACCGTTTAGGTTCAGATCAGGCAGGCTGCTGAAGTTTCCCAGTAGCTTAATGGAGTCATCCAAGAGCCTTCTTCAGTTACCAGTTCAGTCCAGTTGTCTCCTTTTTTCAAGCCCTTAAGACTACGGTGATCTGGATGACAGAGAACTAACACAGACACATGAACGGGTTGTTTAAATGATCGTTCTTGGTCTGTTGTACGTTGAAACTGTGTCATCATGTGTTTATATACGATGCAGTTTTTTGCCATCATACTTGTGTCAGTTTTGACTGGTGAGATAATGTCGATGCTCTGCCCTTGTTTGCAGGACATAAATGACTGTAAATGATCTTTTTAGCAGTCGGTGCTACAAATTAGTTTCACAAATATGAAAGGTTTCTAAGATTAGCAGTCTAAAAGTTCATCTCTCAGAATAATGCTGGACCTCTTTATAATTTATGGTGCCAAGAAAATAATGCACTCCTGTGTTTTTGATTCATTCACAGTCAGTTTCATGCTATCTCATAATAGTACTGAGCATATCCAAGGGAGTATTTCTCTTCAGTCTTTTGTTGTAGCCATGTTAGCAGACTGAACCTTTCCAACACTGATTTCTTGACAACCGCTCTCTGTTGTCAAGAAATGTCACAGCCACCTTAGGTTGGGTTACACAATAAATCACTAGAAAAAACAACAACATAAAATACCACCTTCTGAGCAGACAGTACAAACACTAAAAAGGTTTTTATGTATTTTTCCAATTTAGGGAGGCAGGGTATCCCTAAATTTGTCACTCATCTACCACTCCACTGGGGTTTTTTGTCAGTGGAGCATACAGAAAATCCATTTCCCTTCAGATTTCCTCTAACATGCATATAAAAAGCCACGTTCAGCCTTTAAAATCAACAAAGGCTTTGGTGTTACTCTAGATCCACACACAAAAAATAAAACAGCTTTCTCAGCAAATAGTTTATAGATGTTGTTGGAAGAGAAGGAGAGAAGGGCAACTTTAAAGTGAGGAAAGATGAAATATGTAAGAGGAAACAAAAAGACAAAATACTTGCAAAATATTTTATATCTGTCTGTGCAGGTTAACAGTCATCCAGGTCGTGGTAGTTCTATGTGCTCAAGTTGAAGGCAACTGGACTACTTTTTAAGTTGGTGAAGACATTTAAGAATTCGCACCTTGGCTCACGTGACCATAATGGCTCACATGATTACCAGGTAGATCGACAGCACTCAGGACAGTCAGCAAGGCACCAACACCACTACAGTTTGAATATGTGGGACTTCCCATCAGCTGCTAGAGCTTTCAGATGAGAGGTGAAATGTCTTCAACTACTTGGAAAAGAAATCGAGTTGCCTTCAATTCAAGCACTTAGAAAACCTTACAGTAAAGATTTCCTGAAAGTTGGTCATGACAAACTGCCTAAAATCAAAATTCCTATAAATGTGTCAATTGCTGTCATCATAACAGGCTTGATCATCCACGAGGGGGCAGCAGTGTACAACGTGTTTCTGCGCTGGCGAGCAGTGAACCTCCACTGGGATGTTCAAAGCTATGACAAGACCAAGGACATGGAGGACACAAGCACTGGTCACTCTTCGCTGGCCCCCAGGACACTTTGGTTGCCTTTGGCCACTTTTGGGCCCAGCGGCCCCTTACACCCGACCCAGCTGGGATCACATCCATGGACTTGCCTGTGTTTGGCACCCTTTTGCCACAGAATGGTAGCCCGAAACAACCTCAGCCAGGACAGTGATTCGGGAGAGGTTGTCATTCGTGTAACATCGGTATAAACTCCAAGCAGTATTTGTGGAGAGACGAAGCATCTGATGGGTTACATCTGGGAGTTACAGTCTGAGCTGTGCTGCAAAGTTGTTTTGTTGCAGATTTTTTTCCGTAACTTAATACTTTTAATTATTTGAACTGTGTGTGCTGTCTGGGGCTGGTCCTCAAACCAATCTAATACCTTCAGTAACTCACATTTTTGTGTTGGTGCCTTTGTTTTTACTCTGAGATATAACACTGTTTATTTTGTGACAGAGACATGAGCCACCCTCACATAAATCTTTTTTTTTTGTGGTTTTCCTTTTAAACTGTTGTGTGGCACTCATGTCATGTGGAATTGAAGGAAGTGATGGGATTATCCAGATTACAAATCTAAGGCACAACATCAGACATGGTGTAGGATCACAGGGTTGCCTGTTCAAGGTTGAGGAATACTGTACACAGCCAATATCCTCTCTCTCTCTCACTCTCATATATCTCTGCTCTAATGTGGCATAGAGACAGTATGGTGTCATAGTCTCAAGCCACCCTTAATTTCATTAGGTTTTGTTAGGAAAATGTGAAATAAGTGTAGCGATTTATTCAAATAAGTGCAAACATAGATGGAAATACAGGATATAAGGCAAAAAACCCCAAAAACAAAACATATTTTCTACAATTCTAACAAGCTTGAAAGTCAATAATTGGTTTGACATTTCTTTTTCAACACAGCCAGAACTTTCTTAGACAAGCTTACTTACCTCTTGTAATTTCTTTAAGGAGCATTCAGCAGTAGTTCTCCAGACTTCTGGAAAAGCCATTCAAAGTTCTTCTTTGGATGTTGGCTGTCTTTTTGTTCCATTTACTCTGATGATTCAACGTTGCTTCAATAATGTTGAAGTCAAGGCTCTGGGGAGGTCAGTCCATGACTGACAGTGTTGGCAGTGTGTCTGAAAATGATCAGAAGCTTTGTGGATGGCATTCATGGTGAATTAAAATCTGATGGTAGACTTCTATACATTTAGAAAACATCCCCCAAGAACACCGGCTGAAATTCAGCCCCAAATTATGACAGAGCCTCCACCATGATTTCCAGACTATAGACGCCCTTGTAAATATTGAATGATTTGAAACAAACATTTTACATTTAAAACTCAAAAAGAACTGATGCCACTGACTTCCAGTCCAGTTCTTGTGTAATTTTCATTCCTCAGCCTTTCCTCCCTGTTTTTGGCTTTCAGATACTGTTCGTCTGCTGTATATAGATTTTTTTCTGCAACTTATTCTTTTGTCCTCCATTTTTCTCAGTTTTCTCAAATTTCTTCAAAATTTGAGGAAAAATTGCTGAGATAGACCAAATTATCAACTAATAGGCGTTGATCAGACTGAAGACAAAGTGAATTTTATGAACTTTTTTCGAGAAGCAAGTCTTCCAATATGGGAGCCATATGGGCATCACCCTCTCTTTATTTCTTTTTCTTCTTCTTGGGTCGGCTATTTTTGGACACACTGTCAGCTGCTGAAAATCAGTGTTACAATTTACTGTTATTACGAATTACGAATTATTTAAAAGTGTTATATTGTTAATGCATCATTGCAGGACTGCTAACACAAAAGTGTTCTAGGTTCAGAGCTGTACTTAGGAATGATGTATAGCTTTTAATTTTAAGCAGGGTCTCTGAGCTTTGTAACTATACAACCAGATGTCCTGCTTTATGTTTTATGCCGATAAAAGGATTTGACAGACAGGGATGCAGGAATTATGACACATTTCATATGAGCACAAAAACCTGATGTCAAAATGATATTGAAAAAAATGATCCAGCAAACATTTAATGCTGGTTAAGGATGTGATTCTTGCTTTGGGTATAAGAGGTCCAAATCCTGGATGAGCCCCCATGATGTTACTCTCAGTCCTAGAAGAATCATGGGTGTAGCATAAAAAGTGAAAAGAAGCATTTTTCACCAATCTAAAGGACTGAAGAGTGCCACGGCAGAATTGCACTCCAGAAAGAAGAGATTTATTTATCTATTAATGTAGACAATATCAGGGTGTGCACGAGGCCAAAGAAAAAGAAAAATGCTTCCCACACCTATGCTTCCTGGAGGGAATGTCCAAGATAATGTCCATAGAGATGGCTTTCTATGCTTATCGATTCTTAGGAGGAAGGAGGAGAGAGGTCAGCCTAATAGGTCTCTAATTTAAAGGAGCTACCATCAGTCTCCCGTCCAATCACCAGGTGCCACATAGAACTCAACATAATGGGTAAGCAGAAATGGTTGGACCCAGGGATGAAGGGGCAGACACCCAATGTACATAAACACAATTTAAATTATGACATGGGGCCATAACGTGACACCCCCCCCCGATCCCCCTTTTTTAGATTTCATTGTCATTCATAACATTTCCAGTGCTGGTATAAGCTGGCAAAGTGACATCTGTTCAGCATGGCAGTGTTTGCCTCAAAGGACTGATCCTCAGATGGTTTGTGCCAGTATAAATATAGCTATTGGAAATTGTGTTTTTCCCTGTCTGTAAACCATTCTTTTGAGCTTCCATGAGCCCTGTGATGTTTGGGCCATGGGCTAATCTGTTCTTGACCTACGAGTCATTTACTTTTTTTGGTGCCTTAGGAGGCTGGGTGTCGACGTTGCAATGCGCAGCACAGAAATGACTTGAATGTGACTTTTGCTGTTGGCTGTATTTCTATTTGTTTTGACTGTAACATGGATGTAATGTATAAAGAATATTTATAGATACAAAGCTGTGCGAGTTATTTGCCCAACGTCATATTGGTTTTGAGTATCTGCTGCAGGATGCTACGTGTGTGGCATCGTTACAGGAGATGAAGTCAAACCCCCAGTGATGAAAGGTATCATTTTTGCTCATCTAGACCAAAGAACACTACTGCATATTATCACAGAAATTTTATTTATGACAGCTGGGCTGGTGACATCCATGGGAACACTGATCAGACAGTGTAACATCAATAAACCTAGGTGGCGAAATATCAGACATTCGTCACTTAAGTACAGATACTGGTGTTGAAATAATAGCAGTCTTTACTCGAGTAAAAGTGAAAAAGTACAAGCTCAGAAATGTACTTGAAGTCAAACTAAAACTAAAAAGCAGTAACTTAACATTGACCATGAACAGCACAGCTGCTCTGCCCCACTCCAACTTAGTGCATTGCTGTAAACTTTACCACAGTTAGCAAAATTAGGTGTGTAACAAACTACACAAACATTTAGTGTTAGCTGATATTGAGCTGTGAGAAATGTTGCATTTTAAATTACCTGTCACTTAAATTTTTTTTACTCCATTTATGCTTCTGCAGTGTGAGCTACATGCTGAAGAACTATGACCACAACTAACTGACTTCTGCAACAAAAGCGCTGTTCCAGATTGCTCTTGTTAGGTATGTGTTTAATACTGATCTTATCTCTCTATCTACATAGATATATAGATACATACATATATAGCGAGCTAGCAGCTGGATAGCGTAGTGGTAAGACTACACGCCTTTGGAGTGGAAGCCGCAAGTTCGATTCAACATTTGGCTCTCACAGCTACAGATTGACAAGGTACAACACACATACTACGTCAAGGGGGAGCCAGGACCACAGGTCAGGGGGGGAGATGTTGTCATCACCCCCAACCAAGATTAGGAATCAAGGTGGTGGAAGTTGAGTGTAAGAGGAAGTGACTTGACTGGTTAGTGAAGTTAAGTACCCTTGAGATCAACTAGAGGATGTGAGATATATACATGGTGATGATAAGTAGAAAGGAAAAAAAAGTAGCTGCTGTTGGTGAGGTGTATTTGTTTGTGGCCTTTTTTAGGTTCTTGGATGTGTGTCCAGCAGCTTTAGCCGTTGGTTGTCACATTAACTTTCTTAAACTAAACCTTTTTTTTTAATAGTCAGGAAAAACAAAACGGTAACTTGAGACCAAAAGTGTAGCGATTTATTGTTAGAGTCATCAGTTCAGCACATAACACTAATTACAGCTAGGAGGAAACCCCCCCACAAAACATTGTGTCAAAGATCCACTGTCAGATAGTTGTTTAGAGAAAAATACAAGATTTGTTAGCTTGGGAAAACTGCCATCTGATCAGGATTCAGGAGAAAAAAAATAGAAGGCAAAGACTTACAATATAAAATGTACAGCCACATGATTATAGTATATATAACATTGCACATATACCAAAAAAAGAACCCACACATGAAAAAAAAAAAGTGTACATCATATACAACAAGGCACTGTGGAGGAAACCTGCACACGCATCTTTGGATGGATCTGCCGCCCGCGGAGGTCCAGTGAAACGTTTTTAGGAATGTTACACTGCAAACAGTCCAACTGAACAAGCCATTCAAGCTAAATCGTGACAGATTACACTGAAATACAACGATTAATTCTTATGTCTATTATGTAATAGACACATCATGTAATAGCTTTTTGAATTTGTAAGTGCTTTTTGTAGACAGGCAGCAGACAGAAAAAATATCTACATCTTCTTATTTCACGTTTTTAAAAAATGTATTCCAATATTTCCTCTTTTCTACCCCCCAAAGAACCAATTTACATTTTAAGTTCAGGTTGTTCTAAAGGGAAAGATGGTGTTGCAGTTCACATTTGTTGCCAGCAGATGTCAACGTGGATCAGAAAGAGACGTAAAAGATTGTCTGACATCAAATTACCCATCTGCAAATATTTTATTATACATAGCTTTTTTCTTTTTTTCTTTCCCAACAGCAAAAAAGAAAGAAAGAAAGAAAAAAGGTTTGGAGAAAAAGATAAAAACAACTGCATGTATATGTCCAATATTGTCAACGCAACATTGTCAGTAAGACTCACGTACTCGGGTACATTTGCAAACGTTCAATTAGTCAATGATCCAGGCTGCTGCCCTATATCAGTATCTTTAATATTATAAACAATTTACGCCTCAATTCATTTAGTTTCTCACAACTGACAGATTTAAAAACCCTTGAATGACGTCCATTGCTGGTCAGAGTTTGCAGTGCACAAATACATTGGCAGTTAAAGGGAAATGTGTGTGGGAGCACCTTTCAGATTCAGGCTACACAGGAACGAGTGTGGCACCAATAAAGGCTAAATCTGATTAGATATCATCCTGCTTCAGTTGGAACAGGCACTTTGTATCGTAAGCAAAACAATCAGTCACAAACGTAAAGGTACAGTTGCATCTTATTTACAGTGAACAGGAAAAGGTCAAGTCCCAGAGTTTCTCAAAGCAGAGGAAAAGGCTTGTAGGCTGTAGTTGTTTTTCCTCCGTCTTCTTTGCCTTTAATTTTTTTATACATTCGGACAGCCTGTAGACACTCTTCTTTTTTTCTAATAACATACTTCCTCGCACACACACACACACACACACACACACACACACACACACACGCTTACCAACCTCTGTGAGAAATCGACCCCTTCTGCAAAAACAGTCCCTGTAGGGCCTCAGAGGTTTACCATCGGACAGAAAATTAACTGTTTCTTTTCAAAACAAGACACATCCACCTTTTAGAAGCTGCATCTGACTTCATGAAGACTAATATAAAAATATGATTGTGTATAACCACCACCTAGTTTTCTTTGGTCTAAGAGACTGTGGTTTGTAATCAGAGTCTGGGGGTGAACGTCTGTCATGGTACACTTTGTACGCCTTGGGATTAACAGATTAAACTGATCCTTTGTTCTGTTTTCTCTAGTCAGTTTAGGAAGCTTAGCTAGAAGTCCCCTTTACTTTAATGTGGGGCAAAAATGTGCACTTGTTAGCTTATTTAAGAAAGTGAAGATTGTACACAACTTCCATCTTTAAAACAAAAACTTCATATTATGTTGGCTGAACAGAGGTGAATGTGACAAGGATGATAGTCCTTCAAGCATTTTATCACTTTATGAAAAATGGTAATTAACTTGTGGAATTTATAGGAGCAATTGATCTTAAGCCCTAAAGGATCTTAAATAAAAAAATAAAATAACACTGACAGCTGGCAGGCTTTGAGGGAAACCAATTAGAAGCTGCCCGCAGTTTGAGTCTTTTAAAGTCTGGTCCCTGCTCGTTATCACATATCTGTTGATTTAGATAACAAGAAGCATTCTCATGTTGCTTTCTCAGTCAACTTTTGGACTTCATTCTGTTTTCTTGAGTTTTATGGACAACTTTCCACCATGTTTGCTACAGAACTATCCACAGCCCTGTGCCTACATTTTATCGTGATGAATAAGGAGTGGATGTGTACTGTTTCTAAAAGAAACCAGGTCAAGATAAGTTGAGCTAGTTTACATTAAGAGCATATTGGGGTTTTTTTAACTTTTTTTCCTCCAGCATTCAGAGTCAGTCTGACATGAAATGTATGAGCTGCTCTCTCCAGAGTGCAGAGGATGGGCGTCCATGCATGGCCGGCACCGGCCACGCTCGGCCCCCTGGCTGCACTCCTGCATGTGGCTGCGAGGCAGAGGGTGAAAGGGCGGAGTTCACCAGGTGCTACAGTGGCTGCCGTGGCTGCTGACGGACTGACAGTTGCTGTAGCGCTTCTTGACGATCATGCTGATGTAGGCTTTCATCAGCTTGGCGATGTCCATCACCTGCAGAGGAGAGGAGTAAATGTTGGTGTTGTATTTAATGACCTGCATTGAAATTATGGGGAGACCAGGAGTTATGACTGAGTGAGGATGTACACACCATTTGGGTTTCAAACACCAGCTCTCGGCCTTCCACGGTGATTTTGTAGGTGTTGGATAACGGAGCTCCGAAAGAGAGTATCTGTTCATACGGGAACACCTCCAGAGGCCACGGCTCCCCTCGCTTGTACACTGATATGGCCTCCCGGCTCACACCCAACCAGAGCTCGGAGGGGAACATGCCATCCCGGCACTGAAACAGCAAGCATGGAACATCAAAATCTCCTATCATTCCCTCTAAGATCAGTTTTGTTTAGAACTGGCAATAGATGACTTTAAACCAACCAAACAATCCCATCTTTCCACCTATGGCTGTGTAGCTGTCTTTATGGGAACATAACCATCCTTTATCATGGAGAACAAAGTTTTTGTTTAAACAGAAAAGTGATTTCTCTTCTCACCTCGACGTTGAACAAAGTGGATCCGTATCCCTGCCACTCCTTCACCAGCGCCATGTATTTGACCATTGCCTGTTCCTGGTTCATCCCCTGCAGCTTCTTCCACTTGTCCATCACGCTGGTTCTCACGGCCGCCGCCTCCTCCCTCATCCAGGCCTCCAGGCTGTTCTCTTCTTCAAGCTTCTGCCGACTCAGCGAGCTGCTCCTGAAACTCCGCCTCAGTGTCCCCTCCAGGAAACTCGAGCGTTTCCTCTCCGCCGTGCCTGAGCGGTCGGCCACCGAGCCGGTCCCCGGAGCGAATGTCTTGGCCGAGTTCTGCACCCGGGCCCGCAGTCGAGACATGGGGAACACCTGGGACATTTCAGGGATGGTGGACTGGGAGTTGTGATCACCCAGAAGGTACTGAAGTCTCAGAGCAGCCAGAAACTGAAGAGTCTCCTCAGGGGCCGGGTATTGACCACGAATCACAGCTTCATGGGCCTTTGAGGGAACACAGAGAAAATTATAGTTAAAACTATAAGATCTAAGCATTTTTTCTTTTTTAATTTCCACAAAAAATCTTTCCAAGTTCAGTCAGAATCAGCTACAAAAGTCTCCTAGTCCCATCCC